ATTTCAGTCGGTGTATGCTTAATTTCTAGTTGGTTCTTTATCACAACATCGAGGGTCTCATTAGATTTCTTGAGGATCTCATTAAGTTTATCAGCGGCTTCTAGACAGTTCTTGAGAGACCTTAAAAGTGTGGTTCTGAACTCAATATCCTCCATTGACAGTTTTGTCCTGTTTGTTTGTCTCCGCATTTTTTTATGCTTTCTTGGTGCACTCCCTAGTGGTCTTTGTGCACAGTCTGGTTGTAGGTAAGCCTTGATTGTTGTAGTTAATACTAGGGGAATTTGACCTCCAGGCCAACTGGCTGTGTTAAAATTGAAATCATTGGCAGTGACCTAGGAAATGAATTGTTTGCGCCTGTTACAAATATATTGATTTATAAAAGATTTCCAAGTTACCAATAGAAATTTGAAAATAGTTTTGACTTTGGGTGCATGTTTTTGTTGCATAGTGACTTTGTAATGTTAATGCATATATGGGCAATATCCATTTTGTTAACATATGAAAACTAAGTAGTCATGTATTTTATTATATAGTTTCCAGAAGTAATTATTTTTCCTTTGCAGAGTAACTTTTTTTTTTTGGTAGAAAAGTAACAACAAATACTTTATTGTTATATAGACAAAAAAGTTTTTTGTTAAGAATATGTTATATAGTAATTTAGGACACTTACAAATTTAAGACTTCTGCTTTTATTTCAAATCAAGCCTATAAAAAACATACTTTAAATTTATAAATTCTAGATCTCTGGAACCAACTGTTCTTAGATTTTGCTTCATAGGCATAAATCATATAAGGGGAAACCTAAAAAGAAAACAAACTCAGAACCTAAATAGCACACTTTTGAAAGTGCTTAAATCAGATTGCTCATTTTTATATTGATGTAGATGAAATAGAATGATGTCATTTAAGAATAAATATTGACCCGTAAACCACTGTTGATCAAGTTTAATGAATTCTAGCCTATATGACATATAGGCAGGCACATTGGAGGGATTCAAAATAATTTAATTTGATTTAAAAAAAATCCTTTGTTTGAACTAAAAACTACCTTACTTATCTTGAGGCACAGGAGACAATATGTGTCCCAGGGATATGTACTGAAATGAAGTCATGAACTAGGAATTCCAAAAACCTTTCTGCTATGACTGCCAAAATTGTTGTTTGTTTTGAGGTATGCAGGAATATCTCAGCAATCCTTAGAATGGAGCTGTACAGATATGCATCACTTAAGAAACCTCTTATTGAATATAAAAATATAATCCGATAATTGGTAAGGGGCTTATTTTTTACTATATACCAGGTACTATGAATATTGAAGCCCCCCTCATATATGAAAAACGAAGCTTTCCATGTTAGTAGTTAACCTAGTAGGAGTAGTTTCATTTTTCATTGTTTATCCTTCTCTGACTTTTTTACTATATACCTGTATTACTTCTAATATAAAAATTAGTTTTAAAAAGTTAAAAGGTAAAAAACATTTATATAGAACACTAGGTTGTGTACAGTGAAGCATGCCTGTAGAGCTCTTATGAGTGTGTATCATGAGACAATGAATCTTCATAAATTAATTAGTTGATTTAAGTTATTAGAAGTATGCAATTTGTTTATTTCTCAGCCTTGTTTATATTAAGCAATAGGTTATTCATGCCAATATCTGAAATACTATAAAAAAAATCTAGGTATGCAACATTATAGTTAGTTTATTCTTGTTTGACTTGAATAACTTTAATAACA